ATGGAGGCTGTGTCGTCGCTGATCGGAATCTAAAGGTCCCTGGTTCGTTCCTGGGTTTCGGCACCACTTATTGCCTTCAGAGGTGTAGCGACCTGGTTCAGGAACAGCTCGGCGACCCCACCTTTGGGTCTGCGCGGGCCATCAGCTCACAGACACCAATGTGGTGGACGGCAAATGGCATTTACTGATAGGTGACACGGTGTTATATAGTTTGGGTTTACAATGTCACATCCGTCTGCTTACGTCGTAAATTAAACGCTATTGGCTATTTAGGAGAGGGGCCCTATGCTTTCCGTAGAGCGCGATATCTTCCGGCCGCCAGGCCCTAACTACCCACAGATAGCAAAATACTAAAATTCTGTACGTCTGTGGTTTCTCATCATTAGATTTATAACGAAGTTCAGTGTGGAACAGGATTGGTTTACAAATGTATTTTTAGATGTAATTCTCAATAAAACTGGCTAGAGCTAGACAGATGATGTTCAAGTTTCACCATGATTCACTTTACTGCCAATATACTGAATTTCTAAATAGTCACAATTTGCCAAAATTCTTTGAAGTTAGTCTCTTCTGGAAAGAGAATGTGCACTATCTAAAAATGTTTAATGATCTTCCGATGTGTTCTAAGAGTACCCTAGGGATCATGACAGCTGAACTCCCTAGATGTTCTTAGGATTGATAGGTTGGTTTAATGTGCCAGCTAATCTTCTCCTAGCCATTACTTACAGGGTTTTTTTAAACAACAACAACAACAAAATTTATGAGAGAAAATATGGGAAAGAATACACAAATTAAGTGGGAAAATATTTTGCTATATTTGTACTAATTAAGAAAACCTGTAATTAAAAGTCACAAAATTATAAAGATGCTTTAAATGGAAATTATTGTACGAGTATCTAAATAATCTATTTGAAAAAGTACACGAAAGTCATACCTGGCCATAGCAACCTGCATAATGAATAAGGCTTGGGTGGTCTTTCGAGCAACTTAATTCTGCGATAGCTTCTGTTTCGCTCACCATCCACCGAACACACTCCAGCTGACCGTTCTAAAGAAATTAAAATTAAAAAACAACAATTCTAGCTCTTTCAGTTCTAAACACATCTACAAACAGGGAAAAGCTTATCAAAATTATGAAAATGTTATGAAATTCCCATTTGTTTGAAAATATGTTCTTTTATCTGCTGTCATGTAATGCACTTGTTTATCTTGCTGTCCTGGATGAATTATAGTTTAGTTATTGATTAAAGCAAAATGGGCAATGTGAAAGTGGTAGTCAAACAGTATTACATTCACACTCTTGCCCCTACTCTCAAACTGTTCAGAGCAAATTGTTCTGTTTCCATCTCTTGTACAGCAACACCCAATGACGAAATGAGATGATCTGTTGAAGTGGAGTGAACACTTTCGCTACAAACTCTTCATTGATCACTAATTAAACGTATGCTTCCTAAGTTATTCCTATGTATGTAGTACCTGAACATCTCATCCTCATGGATTAGGACTTTTCTGTAACAGATACCATTCAAACACAAACAAGTATGTGGTTCTTGCCCTGAACACCTGTTAAAGCCTAATCACAAGATTCCCAAGCTGCTATGCATTCTCCCAGCACTCCACAAGTTACTGTGAAGTGGGACATAGATGCTGTGGAAACATATGAACATTTTCTTCAGAGGTTGCTTACGGCCCAGTGTAAAAGCAACAGTTCTTAGTAGTAGCTTCTCTTGCTGCATCCCTTTTTCAGTGATGGGATTTTGGTAAACATAGTTTGGTATAACCTACAATCCAGCCTGCTCTTACTTTGTTTTTCAACTCATTTGTTCATGAAAGCTATTATATTCTTCATATCCGAAACAAGTATTTCAATTGCTCGGTCAAAACCTCACAGAGGTCAACATACATAACATAAAAAGCTGTTTGTGAGCATAAAATGGAAAAAGCTACAATGAGAAGGAAAGAAATATCCATTTCAAGTTACAGGTTTATTTTTATAAAAACAAGGAGGAGAATGTAATAAATATTAACCCATTTAAAATTATATGGGAGAAAGAAAAACTGGAATAAAATCAAAGTGATATTTGCTTTATTCCTTTCATATGTAATGTATGTACAGAAACACAAAAATGCACACCATTTTCCTTTACATACTTTCACCTATTTCTCTCAATTTCAGTAATGAAGTCAAACCACTTATTCTTTTTATTACGCTAGAAAAGTCGTGCTCCTCATACTTGGGTTCAAATACTAGTAAGCATGACTAATATTTTTTTATTATGTTTTCCTTTGTATCACAACTGAATGAAATATTTTTGCATTTTTAAAATTAAGGTAAAGAATTAATAAAATTAAGTACCTGCTAAATAAGATAATTTTCCTAATGTGTCCTAATTTTCCTAATTTTCCTCCAGTTAGCGAAAATAAACTGTCAATATGACAGTGAGACTGGCCATAATACACTGCTCCACTTTCACTCTCTAGCTTATAGTTCATGGAGAGAAAGAGGCCTTGAATCAAAATAATTTATTTTAATTACTTCATTCATTACTCAGAAATGCTATGCATCATCACTAAATTATTGAAATTGTCTTTCCTGAGAAATATATGTTCCTAAATACAAGTTTTCTTCTGTTCTGATAGCCGTCATTCTTGTAGAACATAGGTGTATGTCCCACGAGGCATAATAACAGTACAGGAGTTACAATGGTATAAGTTAAGAGCAAGAATAATAAAGTTCATTCATCAATGAACAAAAACACATTGAGGGTAAGGATCAAGTGCTATAAAGTTTAGTTATGTCAGATTATTTTAAGACTCTCACAAAACTTTGCAATTATCCAGGACAAGTCCAGCCCATTCAGGTCAGCATTAGATATTTCTAATGGGCCCAAGCACCCTCACTTACATGAAGAACTCCATTACATTTACAGACTTTTCTGTGAAGGTGAAAGCATGCTCAAGTATTACAGAAACTAAAGGAATCCATTATTTTAAAAGCCAGGCTTTCTGGAGAAAAAGACAAAGGGTTTTATTGGCTTATAAACACATTATATATCTAGATTGAAAAAGAAAGGAAATGTTTTCCCACTAAAATTGTAAGACTTTAAATTGGCAGACTGTAACTATTCAGTGGGGACACAAGCCAAGGTATTGAAGCTAAATACCTTACTTTTATAATAGCATTTCAGTAGTAAAACTAGATATTAGTTCAATGTTATAGTCATATGGCTTATCCCAGAAAAATAAAAAAAAAACCCCAACCCTGGAATCTGCACCCAGGGGCCCTCGGTCACCGAAACGACACCTCAATGATACAAACTTGCGGGTTGGAATCCACCAGTCCTCTGTCAGTTTCTAAAGTTTTTCCAAGAAGCAAATAACAATAAAACCCCAGAAGAAACAAAAACTTGTATTACATTTCACCCTTTTCTTTGTTTCTCCTTAAGGTACTTGGTGGCTAAAAGGAATGGCACTCAACCATTCAGTCTCACATACTAAAGAACCAGAATCAGTATGGCTAAATTATCATCCTTCCTGTACATCACTATATTTTATTCTAGTGTAGCAACACCGATAATTTTCACATTTTCTTACAGAAGAGGTTTTCCTGTAAGCTTTGACAATAATTTTTGCAGCTTCTGACAAGTTCTGTAACATGCACCTTTTAACTTTGATGTGATTGTCCTAGCCAATCAAGAAGTTAACCTCCTGATGTAGATCAGGGGTTTTTAATGCTTTGTAAACATGTTCTCACATTTGCCTTTCAAGATTATACCTGTATTTGTAAAAAAACCTAGACTCTGTTATGCTCTCTAAAGAAACAACTAAATCTGGGTTAAATGTAAGTTTTTAAAAATATAACAATTTTTAGAGTCAGTTAACTGATTTATAAATGAATGTATATGCATTAATGTCAGTGTTAAACAGCTGATATTATATCCTGCATAGTAATCCATCTTTATTTGCTTATGGGGTACCAGCCAACCATTCTTCTAGCTCTCACTTAACAAAACACTTGAAAAATAACATCCTGCTGGATGTATTACTTACTCCCATCACAGAAAGGAACTAAATTACCTTTATGTCACATTACAATAGAGACAGAAACTAAGTTACCTTTATTGCTAATCCAGCTGGAGTTAGCTGCTCAATGTTTCGTTCATTCAAACAGTCTTCACCCATCAAGGAAGTGAGATGCTGCAGGCATTCTGCATGTCCCTTTGATGCTGCTAAGTGCAACAGATTGTTGTCACATTCATCATGGATCTTATCCAGATTATCTGCTGCTAAATGTGGCTGTTAAAAAAGTAATTATCTTAGTTATAACTAAGGATAAAAAGATACACAGAACATTAAGCCTCACAGCCCAAGACACAAGCCAAATACATAGATGTTTCCTCATAGACATCTTTTATAACTCAAACCTAGGAGCTTTTCACTTCACTATAAAGACCCTGGCTACTATTAGCAAAAGGGTAGAGGTGGGAGGCTCACTGGCTTGATGCATTGGGTAGCTTCTCTCCTTCTCAAGCTATTGTCATACAACAGTGCAAGATCTTGAGTATCTTGAAGTCTTTGTACTAGTTTGATCTATGAAGTAGCCGCAAAAATACCCACGGTTTCATCATTTCTGTCCATTTTGTGTTTGGTTTCTCTCTTTTTTTTTTTTAATTATTATTTTGAACAGAAAACATCCAATACTCCTAAAAAATTCCAGATTAATTTTGCTCATCACAGAAGTGGCAGCTTGTGCTAAGCACAATCTAAAATGTTGTTAAAACATGTAAGAGAAGACTTTTAGCTGATAGGTTGTTTCCATTAAAAAAATTTGTTGGAGTATTTACCCAAAGTACTACATAACCATGACATAACAGGTTATTTCTGCCTAGATCTAATTTTGAGACAAAAAAATTTTATTGAAAAACTCCAAAAGGAAAACAGAAGAAGGAAGACAGAGTTAAGGAACAGCAATGGTAATTTCCTAGAGTTGTGCAGACTTTTGACCTGTTTGGAAAAAATACGCATTTTCTTTCCATCTACCTACCTATGATGACCTCTTTTTTTCCCCTCCAATTCCTATTTTGGAGTGAATTTAATTTGTTTCTACTTCTTACTGAGCAATCTAACATTCTCTTCTGCCTCTGTCTAGTCTTTGAATACTTGCCTTTATTCTTGCTGCTATGTCAATAGCATGCCTTTGTGCTTGAGCTAGACTGGTAAACAGAAAAGCTAAACAAAAATTTAACAAAAACAGTTTTTATACTGTGTTTCCAACAGCCATTCTCAGTGGAGATCAGATGCCCTGCATCATTGTGTTAACTTGGATCTAGTTACTTTGGAAACCATCATTGATAGTGCCTGATCACAGTGCTAGAATTTAATAAAAAACTTCATATGGGTCAGGGGCCAACAAGGCTTTAGAGAAAGCTCCTGCCTGAGAATGCTGCTGCAACAAGACAGTATAAACACTCTTGAATGATAATCAGCATAAAACAGAAGCCCCTCTGTTCCCATCATCAGTCTCTAAATAACTGAGGTAAACCAGCAATAATTGAACAAAGCGACCCACAAATGTTGTGAAGGGCAAAACTCAATTAAGATTTAAATTCAATATTTAAGTGATCTCAACAGTTAAAAAGCTTGCCTTCTATATGATTTCAGTGTATGACATAACTAGCAATCTTGGCCAAGTTTACATAAAACTAGTATCTTGGTTTTGCTACAAATTTTATTTAAAGATTAAAACTTTCAATGTGGAAGCCCATACACTGAATTTTTAAGGAGCATACAAGATAAAAAGGGTAACAGTTCAAAATACGCATCATCATTGCTGGCTTAATAAAATGCATCACAGATCACATTATTCTATTTGTTTTATGAAAAAGATACTTACCAGCAAAGATATTTGGCCTTCTTTTACAATGTTTAAGATGCTCTTAATTTTTTTCACCTCTTCACTTCTGTCCTCTGGGCCCCCTGCACTGCTCCAGTTCATGCTCAGTTCGTCTAGCTGCTTGCTTTCTGCCACTGCCGTCTGCAGGTGGAAAGTCCTCAGGTGGCAGTTTGGCATAGTCTTCTCAGTTTTGTGAGCATGAGGATCAACAAATGTCCTACTGAGGAAGCCCTTGCCCTGGGCTTCAGATTCATGGACTGAGCTACACTTAACCAAAGGCTGGGAAAGCTCTAATTCTTCTGTTACATGCTTGTGCTGATCAAGGACAATGGGCTGTGTTTTTCTCAGCTGAGTGCCTTTCACAGGAGACAGCACATAGAATTGTGTCCCACTGGCAGGCAAGCTCTCTGTGCTCCCTGCAGAGCAGGTCTTGCCACTAAGACCACTGATTGTTGAACATACACCCAAAAGTTTTTTCTCAGGAGCTACCTTTGTAAAAGGAACAAGTTGCAGGCTTGATTTAATATAAGGCACATCCAAAATTTCATCCATATCCAGGTCATAGTGCTCCAGCTCCCCAGGCAGAACAGTGGGCTCGATGTTTTTGCTTTTAAGGCTCTCTCCTCCTGGATTCTGGTCATCATTTGGAGGTGGAGACTGAGAATCACTGCCTTTCTGGTATTCTCCCTTCTGGTTCTTCTGGTCATCACTTTCATTGTTCTCACAGCTTTCAGGCTGATGTTTTAATGGGGAAACCCTCTTCACTGGTCTGAATTTGTCTGCAATTCCTGTTGGTTTCTGTGCATTTCCAATAAGAGTTGAGACTCCGCAGTTCCAGCTGCTGCTGGAAACTAAAGAAACAGAGGAATGTGATTTAGAAGTGATTGCTACCAGACATGTGATGTGATATAGCATGCTTTAAAGATATACCTGGACAAACACTGGAAACAAGAATTACATGACAACATGCCACATTCACATTTAAGCCTATTTAATGGCATCTTTATCAAGACAGCTGAAGAATTTGGCACTCCAGAAAATAAATTTTCTTCAAACAGGACATATATTGTAAACACTTACAGATAAGGTAGTTTTAATCAGGTAATTGACATCAATAAGAGCCTAGTGGTGTTTACAGTAGTCCTGCCCAACCATACTAGTTTGCACTCTGCTTTTTTTTTTTTTATTGTATGGAGACGCATTGCAAGAGTAGAATGATTTTATGGGAGGTCAACAGAAGGGTTAGTAAAAACTTTTTAGTGGAATTGTTTTAACAACACTAGCAATAATTTAATTTTTAAGGCCAGTTATCTCTGGTAGATGTACTTTTCATGTAAGAACTGGAAATTTGTATGAAGAGAGATTGAGAGCTGGGAGGGTTCAGCTTGGAAAAGGGAAGGGTCAAAACAAATCTTATCCTTCTGTATAATTTACATGATGGAAAGCTATGAAGAGGGATTGAGACTCCTCTCTATGATGTTCACTGACAGGACAAGAAGCTGTGAGCACGAAGTGATACACATGAAGTTCCATCTGAGCACACTTTTTTTACTGTGAAGCTGGTCAAACACCAGCACAGGTTGCCAAGAGACATTGTTGAGTTTCCAGCTATGGAGATACTAAAAATCGGACTGGATTTAACCTGTCCTAGCTGACCCTGCTTAAGCAGGGCTGTTGGGCTACATGATCTCAAGTCATTCCTGCCAATCTGAATACTTTTGCAATTCTCTGATCTGAAGATTTATTCAGGTATGATATTTTCTATTGCACTTCTCTGTATGTTTGGCTTCTCTGTCAAACTTTCCACCCCTTTTATAAATATCCTGTACACACACGAGCATGCGTGCCCGCACGCGCACGCATACACACACACACACAAATATATATAGCTGTGAACCTTCCAGATCATTATTTCAGTGCACTGCAGGATATGGAGTTTGACCAGTGAATCTAACTTGCAAAGAAGAAAGTGACTTCAAGGCACCTGAACTCTTAAAGCTACTGAACTTGAAAACAATCCTACTGAACCTGCACTCTTTCACACAGGCTCAGCTGGTGATATTTATGATCTCCATAATCAGTGGAACTCTGGCAAAGAGTTTTCCTTGTTTTGTTATTTTCAGTTGAGAGACAGCACTAAAACCACTAAAGCCTTTAGGCAGTTTCTATGTCCCTTTCAATGTACACTAAGAATTAATACATTCTGAAAGTCATTACTATTTAAACAAGGCAGATTTATCACATGTGCAGACGGCGTATCAGTGTGATCTAATTTGTGATCAAAACCCACAATTCGCCAGGAACACCTTCCTAAGGAAACAGATATATACATTTTCCGTGCAACATTAATGTTTGAAGAGAAAGATTAGTATAGCTCAGTAGTTACAGATGTCTGAAAATTACATTAATACTTTTGGAAGCACTCAGGACTACATCTCCAAAGAAGAAATAAAAACAATAATAATCAAAAGGCATGTAACTTAGTGGGCCAATACAAAGAACATACTGTACTGACTTATTTATGTATTGTATAAGATTCTAGGTTCCAAGGCCTACACTTTTATGTTGGTTTTATTTACATGTGAAATTTTTTCCAAGTGATACAGGGAAATGGATACCATATGTTTCCCAGCTGTTTTGTTCTGACAGGAACTATTAAGCACTCAGTATGGAAATGAATTCTTCTCTGAGTTTTATGAAAACACTGCTTTTAACACAGGGGTCTAGACAGAGGAAAAGGCATCAACATTTTGTTTGTCATCACTTTATTTAAGCTTATATTTATTTTGTTGCTTGGCTTTCTCCACTTTCTAACCTTAATAACACACATCTACATAAACCACTGATAATAAAAGTGTAAAATTGTACACTGTAAGAAGCAATGACCTTTGTTACAAAGCTGTCTTGGATCATTGTAAAGTCACATATTTCTCTTTTCTTTCATTACAGTTACAGTGGAGTAAGGTACTTCCTTTTTGTTGTTGTTGTTTGTTTGTTTGTTTTGTTGTTGTTTTGTTGTTTTTCTTCCCAACATCTCTTTACAAACACAGTTTAAAAAAAAAACAAAACCCAAACTGGAACACCAAAACCAGTTAGCAATATTTTACTGACTAATGAACTTATTCTTCAATTAACCGGGATGAAGAATTTACACTGCAGTTAATAAAGGATTAGAATCTAGCATTTAACCATATATCAGTAAGGAAGAAAGCAAGTCAAACTGGTAGACACAATCCTCTTTTGTGCTAGTTTCTACTTGTGTGCTGTACAGGCTACATCAGTGCTTAGGTAGTTGCAGCATGGTTTCCCACTAAATGCAGAGATCATAGGCCAGAGTGAAACAGGGCATGGCTTGAATCTCTTCTATTCTGTTTTCAGATGCTTGATCCTTGAAGAAGCAAAAGCAAGTGCTGTCTACATCCTCCAAAGCAACAGCACAGCAGGACTTACGTGAGTGGTCTTCAACAGCTGCTCCAGGGGAAAAGCCTCTTGCTCATCTCGCCATACCTGTGAACTCAGGCAGGGCCCATTAAAAGTCTGGGTCAAATAAATACTGTTTGATTCTTTTATAAACAACAGTAAAGGATGGTCCGCATTTAAGGCAGAGGATTAGAATGTGGAGCAGTTAACTTGACTACAGAACCTGATAAATAATGCAATTATTACTGAATCAATAACAATCTGGTACAATCTTGGAAAAACCATATCTCTTCTGAGCACCAGTATCTCAAATGTAAAAAGCGATGACAACATTTTTTCTCCAACTATGTTATCAAAATTTATTTAACTTTTAGTCACTAATATGAGAGACTTGGATGATCCCATTGTTGTGTTGCTGAAGCAAAAAGAGAGAGTAACACAAAAACTGAGAAGACTTCATTCACACCAGTAAAGAAGCATCATGCTGCCTGACAGACCTAAGGTGCCAAAGCATTTCCTTGGCACTAAAGAAAATAATATATGATGAAAACCTGCAAGTGTCAGGTTTCCAAAAGTAATTCTTCACCAAAAAGTGTGCTCTGTGCTCTTTAGGAAAAGAAACTGCAAAAGGTGAATAAAGAGGCCTGTAGGCTTATTTATAGTTTCACTTATTTATTTATTGAAGTCCGAGAAATACTGGGGGCCAAAAATCAGAAAAGGGGACAATTAGGAAGCAACTTACCTTGAAATTTAATCACTTCATCAGATTTTGTTTTAGGAATCAAAATTTACCTTAAACTTTCTAAACTGGATCCTTATAACACATTTCCAATTGGAAGCATCTGTTGACTTCAGAGCATTTTTCTAGATCATCTCTGTATCTAAGTGATAGAGAGGTGAGAGGGGGAGTTTTATATGTTTACAAGCATCTGGAGAACTATGGGGTAAGTATATGAGTTTTGTTCAACCATCAAGACCACCTCATGCACAGATGAAACTTTATCGTTGTGACAGTCAGCTTCTGTGATACTTTCAGTGTAATGCCAAACATCAGCCTACCCTTAAATTGTCCTGTGTATAATAAAAATAACAAAGAACTCAGCTTTTACTACAGCTCGATAAGGAAACTAGTACTGAAATTCATTGGTGGTGTGCATGCAAGAGCCTGTCTCCCTGGCATACGGCTATTCTTTAAATGATGATGGCTTCATGAAGTTTACAGCACTGGTGACAAAAATAGGAGGTGGCAAAAGGCTGGATATCACACATCAGTACCATCACAAAACAAAGTGAACATACTGTACAATGGTACTTGTAGATGCTGCTATGCCAGCTCTTCATGAACCCAGAGTAATTCACATTCATGAGTGAACAGAGAGACTGGCTGAGGATATGGTCAAACTCCTAACAGTGTATTTCTGTCACCATCACCATAGACTCATTTAGGTTTATGCTTTTACCAATGTTCTGTTGTTGTGAATGTTGCTGTTGAACAGCTGGGACATACAGCAAGCAGTAGTGCAGACAAGAAGGAAGATGGATGTAAAGGTCGGAGACATTTGCAGATCAATTGGCAACTGAGTCCATGTTGCTCTACTAGGTCACTTGTTACCTATACACTGAAAAAGAGTGTCAACTCATTCCTGTTCTTCTGCAGGTGCCATCTCTCAGGATGGAGAGCAATACCGTACAGTAAAACACATTGAACCACTGTCCAGGAGAAAAACTGGATGACTTTCCTTTATTCAGTTATCAGTCATCAATGTAATTAATTATTCCACCTAATGACATGACTTGCATCCAGATTATGCTAACTCTAAATTATCTGTATTTCAACCTTTGTTTTCTATGAACTCCATATCTGTGCAGTCACAAGCCACAGTAAAACTGTGAATAATGGAGAACGATACACTGTTTGGTCCCTGGAGCTGATAGTCCTGGACTATCTGCTGGTAAGACTATCTGCTGATTTTATCACACCTAATAGAACTTTCAGTGGTCTATGAACCTCTCAGGTTGAATCATGGTTATTTTCTGCTAACAAAGAAGTGGGAACGCTATGGTTGCTACCCCAATAACACTTCCTCAAAGTAACTTGGTTGCAATGTTCTTTACTGCAGCATTCATTTGGAGAATAGATCCTTGAGCAACATCACGTAACCAAAACTGCTCTGAACACAAGGAAGGGGACATGATGACCTTCAAAGGTGTCTTCTGACTTAAGTCTATGACAAAGATGTAACTATCCTGAAACAATGCAGCCAGTCTGCAGGTAGTAGAAAGACTGGAAACAAAGTACAAAACTGACAAAGAGACAAGAGAAGACACTGTTTGAGGGGTTTTACCTCTAGACCTTGTCAATATGTTCTTGGAAAATCCCAGTACAGAGGTACTCTCCACCTTTGCTGACAATGTAACAAAAAGCTTCGTT